CACAAGTCACCTCGTGGGAACGACCTAGTAACTTTCGAAACCCACTGTGGCCACTTCCGAGGTGACTTTTAAGTCGACTCACAAGTCACCTCGTGGGAACGACCTAGTAACTTTCGAAGCCCACTGTGGCCACTTCCGAGGTGACTTTTAAGTCGACTCACAAGTCACCTCGTGGGAACGACCTAGTAACTTTCGAAACCCACTGTGGCCACTTCCGAGGTGACTTTTAAGTCGACTCACAAGTCACCTCGTGGGAACGACCTAGTAACTTTCGAAGCCCACTGTGGCCACTTCCGAGGTGACTTTTAAGTCGACTCACAAGTCACCTCGTGGGAACGACCTAGTAACTTTCGAAGCCCACTGTGGCCACTTCCGAGGTGACTTTTAAGTCGACTCACAAGTCACCTCGTGGGAACGACCTAGTAACTTTCGAAGCCCACTGTGGCCACTTCCGAGGTGACTTTTAAGTCGACTCACAAGTCACCTCGTGGGAACGACCTAGTAACTTTCGAAGCCCACTGTGGCCACTTCCGAGGTGACTTTTAAGTCGACTCACAAGTCACCTCGTGGGAACGACCTAGTAACTTTCGAAGCCCACTGTGGCCACTTCCGAGGTGACTTTTAAGTCGACTCACAAGTCACCTCGTGGGAACGACCTAGTAACTTTCGAAGCCCACTGTGGCCACTTCCGAGGTGACTTTTAAGTCGACTCACAAGTCACCTCGTGGGAACGACCTAGTAACTTTCGAAGCCCACTGTGGCCACTTCCGAGGTGACTTTTAAGTCGACTCACAAGTCACCTCGTGGGAACGACCTAGTAACTTTCGAAACCCACTGTGGCCACTTCCGAGGTGACTTTTAAGTCGACTCACAAGTCACCTCGTGGGAACGACCTAGTAACTTTCGAAGCCCACTGTGGCCACTTCCGAGGTGACTTTTAAGTCGACTCACAAGTCACCTCGTGGGAACGACCTAGTAACTTTCGAAGCCCACTGTGGCCACTTCCGAGGTGACTTTTAAGTCGACTCACAAGTCACCTCGTGGGAACGACCTAGTAACTTTCGAAGCCCACTGTGGCCACTTCCGAGGTGACTTTTAAGTCGACTCACAAGTCACCTCGTGGGAACGACCTAGTAACTTTCGAAGCCCACTGTGGCCACTTCCGAGGTGACTTTTAAGTCGACTCACAAGTCACCTCGTGGGAACGACCTAGTAACTTTCGAAGCCCACTGTGGCCACTTCCGAGGTGACTTTTAAGTCGACTCACAAGTCACCTCGTGGGAACGACCTAGTAACTTTCGAAGCCCACTGTGGCCACTTCCGAGGTGACTTTTAAGTCGACTCACAAGTCACCTCGTGGGAACGACCTAGTAACTTTCGAAGCCCACTGTGGCCACTTCCGAGGTGACTTTTAAGTCGACTCACAAGTCACCTCGTGGGAACGACCTAGTAACTTTCGAAGCCCACTGTGGCCACTTCCGAGGTGACTTTTAAGTCGACTCACAAGTCACCTCGTGGGAACGACCTAGTAACTTTCGAAGCCCACTGTGGCCACTTCCGAGGTGACTTTTAAGTCGACTCACAAGTCACCTCGTGGGAACGACCTAGTAACTTTCGAAGCCCACTGTGGCCACTTCCGAGGTGACTTTTAAGTCGACTCACAAGTCACCTCGTGGGAACGACCTAGTAACTTTCGAAGCCCACTGTGGCCACTTCCGAGGTGACTTTTAAGTCGACTCACAAGTCACCTCGTGGGAACGACCTAGTAACTTTCGAAGCCCACTGTGGCCACTTCCGAGGTGACTTTTAAGTCGACTCACAAGTCACCTCGTGGGAACGACCTAGTAACTTTCGAAGCCCACTGTGGCCACTTCCGAGGTGACTTTTAAGTCGACTCACAAGTCACCTCGTGGGAACGACCTAGTAACTTTCGAAGCCCACTGTGGCCACTTCCGAGGTGACTTTTAAGTCGACTCACAAGTCACCTCGTGGGAACGACCTAGTAACTTTCGAAGCCCACTGTGGCCACTTCCGAGGTGACTTTTAAGTCGACTCACAAGTCACCTCGTGGGAACGACCTAGTAACTTTCGAAGCCCACTGTGGCCACTTCCGAGGTGACTTTTAAGTCGACTCACAAGTCACCTCGTGGGAACGACCTAGTAACTTTCGAAGCCCACTGTGGCCACTTCCGAGGTGACTTTTAAGTCGACTCACAAGTCACCTCGTGGGAACGACCTAGTAACTTTCGAAGCCCACTGTGGCCACTTCCGAGGTGACTTTTAAGTCGACTCACAAGTCACCTCGTGGGAACGACCTAGTAACTTTCGAAACCCACTGTGGCCACTTCCGAGGTGACTTTTAAGTCGACTCACAAGTCACCTCGTGGGAACGACCTAGTAACTTTCGAAGCCCACTGTGGCCACTTCCGAGGTGACTTTTAAGTCGACTCACAAGTCACCTCGTGGGAACGACCTAGTAACTTTCGAAGCCCACTGTGGCCACTTCCGAGGTGACTTTTAAGTCGACTCACAAGTCACCTCGTGGGAACGACCTAGTAACTTTCGAAACCCAATGTGGCCACTTCCGAGGTGACTTTTAAGTCGACTCACAAGTCACCTCGTGGGAACGACCTAGTAACTTTCGAAGCCCACTGTGGCCACTTCCGAGGTGACTTTTAAGTCGACTCACAAGTCACCTCGTGGGAACGACCTAGTAACTTTCGAAGCCCACTGTGGCCACTTCCGAGGTGACTTTTAAGTCGACTCACAAGTCACCTCGTGGGAACGACCTAGTAACTTTCGAAGCCCACTGTGGCCACTTCCGAGGTGACTTTTAAGTCGACTCACAAGTCACCTCGTGGGAACGACCTAGTAACTTTCGAAGCCCACTGTGGCCACTTCCGAGGTGACTTTTAAGTCGACTCACAAGTCACCTCGTGGGAACGACCTAGTAACTTTCGAAGCCCACTGTGGCCACTTCCGAGGTGACTTTTAAGTCGACTCACAAGTCACCTCGTGGGAACGACCTAGTAACTTTCGAAGCCCACTGTGGCCACTTCCGAGGTGACTTTTAAGTCGACTCACAAGTCACCTCGTGGGAACGACCTAGTAACTTTCGAAACCCACTGTGGCCACTTCCGAGGTGACTTTTAAGTCGACTCACAAGTCACCTCGTGGGAACGACCTAGTAACTTTCGAAGCCCACTGTGGCCACTTCCGAGGTGACTTTTAAGTCGACTCACAAGTCACCTCGTGGGAACGACCTAGTAACTTTCGAAACCCACTGTGGCCACTTCCGAGGTGACTTTTAAGTCGACTCACAAGTCACCTCGTGGGAACGACCTAGTAACTTTCGAAGCCCACTGTGGCCACTTCCGAGGTGACTTTTAAGTCGACTCACAAGTCACCTCGTGGGAACGACCTAGTAACTTTCGAAGCCCACTGTGGCCACTTCCGAGGTGACTTTTAAGTCGACTCACAAGTCACCTCGTGGGAACGACCTAGTAACTTTCGAAGCCCACTGTGGCCACTTCCGAGGTGACTTTTAAGTCGACTCACAAGTCACCTCGTGGGAACGACCTAGTAACTTTCGAAGCCCACTGTGGCCACTTCCGAGGTGACTTTTAAGTCGACTCACAAGTCACCTCGTGGGAACGACCTAGTAACTTTCGAAGCCCACTGTGGCCACTTCCGAGGTGACTTTTAAGTCGACTCACAAGTCACCTCGTGGGAACGACCTAGTAACTTTCGAAGCCCACTGTGGCCACTTCCGAGGTGACTTTTAAGTCGACTCACAAGTCACCTCGTGGGAACGACCTAGTAACTTTCGAAGCCCACTGTGGCCACTTCCGAGGTGACTTTTAAGTCGACTCACAAGTCACCTCGTGGGAACGACCTAGTAACTTTCGAAACCCACTGTGGCCACTTCCGAGGTGACTTTTAAGTCGACTCACAAGTCACCTCGTGGGAACGACCTAGTAACTTTCGAAGCCCACTGTGGCCACTTCCGAGGTGACTTTTAAGTCGACTCACAAGTCACCTCGTGGGAACGACCTAGTAACTTTCGAAGCCCACTGTGGCCACTTCCGAGGTGACTTTTAAGTCGACTCACAAGTCACCTCGTGGGAACGACCTAGTAACTTTCGAAGCCCACTGTGGCCACTTCCGAGGTGACTTTTAAGTCGACTCACAAGTCACCTCGTGGGAACGACCTAGTAACTTTCGAAGCCCACTGTGGCCACTTCCGAGGTGACTTTTAAGTCGACTCACAAGTCACCTCGTGGGAACGACCTAGTAACTTTCGAAGCCCACTGTGGCCACTTCCGAGGTGACTTTTAAGTCGACTCACAAGTCACCTCGTGGGAACGACCTAGTAACTTTCGAAGCCCACTGTGGCCACTTCCGAGGTGACTTTTAAGTCGACTCACAAGTCACCTCGTGGGAACGACCTAGTAACTTTCGAAGCCCACTGTGGCCACTTCCGAGGTGACTTTTAAGTCGACTCACAAGTCACCTCGTGGGAACGACCTAGTAACTTTCGAAGCCCACTGTGGCCACTTCCGAGGTGACTTTTAAGTCGACTCACAAGTCACCTCGTGGGAACGACCTAGTAACTTTCGAAGCCCACTGTGGCCACTTCCGAGGTGACTTTTAAGTCGACTCACAAGTCACCTCGTGGGAACGACCTAGTAACTTTCGAAGCCCACTGTGGCCACTTCCGAGGTGACTTTTAAGTCGACTCACAAGTCACCTCGTGGGAACGACCTAGTAACTTTCGAAACCCACTATGGCCGCTTTCGCAGAGGATAGCTCGCCTGTCGAACCCCGTGATTAACACGCCCGCCCAGATGGGAACAGCCCCTCTTGAGAGAATTCGAACGGCGATGGCGCAGCCTATGACTTCCTAAATGTCCGCCCCCACTATGGCCACCTCTGTCCACACACACAGGCCTACATTCACTCCACATTCACTCCACATTCACTCCACGCTCATTGCTCACCTGTCGAGCCCTGTTATCAACACCCCCGCCCAGATTGGAATAAACCCTCTTGAGAGGATGCGCAGCGCGATGGCGCAGCCGATGACTTCCTGGATGTCCGCTCCCACTATGGCCACCTCCGTCATGATCCACAGCACCCAGCGCACGGGGGGTGAATACTCCATTCGACACAGCTCTGCCAAATGGCACCCTGTTACCACTCCCACTCGCGCTGCTATGGCCTGGGGGAGTATGTGGTTGGTGGAAAGGGGATGAGGAGAGCGATGGGAAGAGGTCTGTTTGGGGGTTGACGTGGCAGCATGAATGTCCGCCCCCAGTATCGCGACCACTGTCATCCCCACCGCACAGCCCCCAGCGCACGGGCGGTGAGTACTCCATTCGGCACAGATCTGCAAGATGGCACCCCGTCACCACGCCCACTCACGCTGCTGTGGCCTGCAGCATGGGCGGTGGGCTACAGGCAGGTGGACAGACACAGGAAAATGTTGCTCGGTGCTTGGACAAGTCACGGCAGGCACCCACATGCTGTGCTTCAGAGAATATCCGCCTAAGTTTCTGCTACCACTCTTTGCTGCCGTCGCATTCAATCAGCGAGAAGAGCTCTGAATGCGAGCCCTACAATGACACAACTTCGATCTTCATCTATGGACCCAGATTTGAGACCTTACGGCACGGACCCTTGACGCTTAAGGCCAACAACACCCCATTCAATAAGGGCCTGCATAAAGAGCTCTTCTTGGTGATTGAATGAGACGGCAGCAAAGAGTGGTCGCAGGAAATTGGGCGGAAATCACATGAAGCGTTTCAAATATTTCTTTCAAGTACATGGTGCAGAAATAATGCAGGAAGAAGCAGGTGCTGTGTGGTGTTCCCGTTGCTACCCGCTCCAGCATTAATTTTCCAGCGGAAACAGATGCAAAAACGGGCTTGAATCGCTTATCAGGAATCTAAAAAGTAAGGTTGGGCGGAACCAGATGCAAACAGGTAAGAGGGGAAGCTGGGAGGCGAAAGTGTGCGTGAGGCAATGATATCAGCAGCACATCGCCCAGTGCCCAGCACAAACGAACCTGCAGCAGCAGGCCGAGCGCAGTGGACCAAAAGAGGATCCACAGCAGTGCATACCCCGTCTGTGCACCTGCCTGCCACGCCGCAGCAGCAGCAGCAGACAAACGCATGTTGCACAAGAGGAGGAAGGGGGGGGGGGGGGAGCACGTTGCATGGGTGGGGAAACAGGTGCACAAAGTCCATATTAGAAAATCTTTACAAGCGGTATGCTCGAGTCGAGAGAGGTACACATGAGAAATCAGGCCTGGTTGCAGGTGACGAGACGAGACAGGTAGTGCGCCAATGAACAGCATGCAGCATGCAATTATGCCGCATGCCGGAAGCGGGAAGGGATGTGCGAAGTAGAGTAGTGACAGGGCGGATACGGGGTTGATCCCTTGCTGCCACCTCTCACACTCCCCATCCCCGTCCACCCTACCCTCACCCTCATGCTCCATATCACCCGTCCCCATCAACCGCCATCCCCACCCCCACCCCCACCCCATCTGCAACCCCACCCCCACCTCCAACCCCATCCGCACCCCCACTCCCCCCCCCCCCCCCGTCCCCCTCCCCTTCCCCCTTCCCCTCTTCCTCCCCCTCCCCTTCCCCTTCCCCCCCCCCCCCCCCCCCCCTCCCCCACACGCACACCCAAGCAGGGATCCGGGGCACTGAATGGGGGGTGACATGACATGTGCACGTTGCCCTCCACGTCCCCACCCTCCATGTATGCTATGCTCACGCCACGCCACTTCACTGTCCCCCTCACCTCTCCCCCTCACCTCTCCCCCTCACCTGCCCCCCTCATCTGCCCCCCTCACCCATCCGTACCGCTCTCGGAAATCACCTGCAGGTTGCTATCGAGGGTGCCCGGGACCAGGTAAGCGATGCTCAAGAGAAAGCCCGTCTACCTTCCCCCCGCCCTCCCCTCGCCCTCAAATCCACCCTCTCACCCGTCACGTGCACTTCACTTCCCCCCTCACCTCCCCCCCTAACCTGCAGGCCGCTCTCGACTCGAGGTTGCCCGGGTCGAGGTAGGTATGCGATGCTCTTGAGGAAGCAATTCCATCTGCCACCCGCACCCATCTGCACCGCTCTCAAATCACCTGCAGGTCGCTCTCGAGCTTGCCCGGGTCAAGGTACGCAATGCTCATGAGGAAGCCGTTCCACTGCACTGCAACCCCATCCACCCATCCGTACCGCTCTCAAATCACCTGCAGGTCACTCTCGAGGTTGCCCGGGTCAAGGTAAGCTATACTCATGAGGAAGCCCGGACCCAAGAAAATGCAGAAGCGCCGCCACGAGAACCGGAACGTGTCTGTATGGGGGATGGGGTGTTGCGGGTAGGTGCATGGGAAGGGGTACGAGAAAAGGAAGGCGTGTGTTCGAAGAACAAGGTGTAGAGGGTGCGGGTGCACGGGGGGAGAAGAGCAGGGGGAGGGCAGAGCAATTCTTGACCCGCACTCAAAAGTCCTGCCTGTGGTGATTATTGAGTCGACTGAAAAGGCTCTCGCCTATGGCGGATCAATCAGTGTCAGCCGCCCAGCACCTCACCCTCCTTGCCGCCCGGCGTCAGCAGCGGCAGGCTGTAGCGCGACACGTCGATCTGCTCCTCCGGCTCGTACGCGCGCTCGTCCTCCGCCTCCTGCAGGCTCCGCGCGCGCTCCAAAAACTCGCTCCCGTCCTCCTCCTCCCCCTCCTCCGCCTCCTCATAAAATTCCTCCGCCGCCGCCGCCGCCGCCGCAGCGGTATGAATCGTCTCCGCAGCCGTGATTATAGTCTGGTCGTCTCGCGCGTGCGATGATTCAATCCCGCCATCTGCGCGCTGACGGCGCGGGCCCGCACTGCCGCTGGGCGGCGGCGCCATGGCGGCGAGTTAGACGGCGGCCCGCACCGAAGCGTAGCTCGCAATGGACGCGAAAGAGGAATCCTGAATCTATTTGAAGGCTTGAAGGCAGCAGTACGGTGAAACACATACGGCTTCCGCAACGGGAAAACTAAGCTGTTGCTGCTGCGATTGAGGTAGTTATTGGGGGCGAATTCCGCATCAGAAATCAAGCAGGTAATTCCTGGGTGGGGGAGGTATGTTGTTGCTGAGTTCATGCCTCGACTTGACCCTTGGGCTCGTCGCGCTGCGAGCGAGGAACATGCAGTGTCGGTAAGGTGGTTTTGTTCTGGCCTTCATATGAACGGCCTCGGATCTTCGTATTAATCGGGAAGAGAGTATCGTTTCTTATCAGATTTAAGGTGGCTGATTTATCCCAGCTGTAAGTCAGTCATATCATAAGACTTTCTTGGCCTCTGATTTCACCCCTTCAAAGCTATTTATGCTTATATTGAGTAAATATAATGTAATTAGGACTTCTCAACAATCGTTTCCTTCCGATGAAATGGCGTGGATTTTGATGTGAATATGTGTAGTGTAGTGTGGGTTCCTTGAATTTCGACATCAACATTGCCGAGAGCTGGTTACTCAGTCTGATCTGAGTGCGTTCAATCTTCCGATCCCTATTCATCTGCATAGTATTAGACATATGCCCGTTTGCACGTGTTTTCACCATACTGAAATAAAAGCATTTCACCTTTTTTTCTCATTAGGTACCTGGTATGTACAGGTAGGTACACTTCAGATCACAGCAGCAGCTGCATCTAGCCAATGTCAGAGCTGAAGTCGTCGTACCAAGCAGCAAAGCTTGGGAGAGGCCTGCCATCGTGGTGCTGCTGGTCCACCTCTATGCTCTGCTGGCTGTACAAGGGCACCTGCCATGGCGATTCCCAATGCATGCAAACAGCTCATCAATCAAAGAGCACACCACCAAAAGAGCTTATGCACACCTAGAAAAGCGTTTTAAAGGCGCGAACGAGCATACTATGCTTGGTATGCTAGCTGACAGAATGTGCGCTGAATGCAGGCTCAGCACGGGCAAGGGAACTCTGAGATCAACTGATGCTGCTTGAGTGTGGCACACAGCTGACAGTCACACTGTTTTTATGATGTGAACGAACGTACCATGTTTGGCGTGCCTGCTGACAGAACGTGCGCTGAATGCAGTGCCAGGGGCAGGGGAGCACTGAGATCAACCGATGCTGCTTGAGCGAAACATGCAGCTGCATGGTCGCTTTGGAATGGGAGGAACTGGGGAACCGGGTCCGAGATGGCCTGCTGCACTGCAGAATCCGCTTTCACTGGTTCCTGCAGATGCCACAAAACACTCGATATAAGCTCCCCAATCTCCAGTATAAGTTTGCCATGTGAAGACAATCATAAAAAAAAACGTATTAATAGTAATTTTTCTGACATACCTCCGCTAGTTGAGGGTCATCTGCCTGAGAGCTGAGCCCATCAATGTAGCGGCTGAGGTCAAAGTTGGTAACCGCATTGAGCCCTCGGTACTTCACTGCTGCTATGTCGTATGCCTCTGCTGCCTCCTCCTGTGTGGCTGTAGGGAAGGGATTTGAAGATGAAGACATGGAATGAAGGAATGGCGATGGATGTGGAGAATTGAACTGGCCAGGAGTCACAGAACACTCTGAGGCTCCTGAATGGAGGTGCTTGTTGGTATCCGCACCTACTGCATATCACTCCCCACAGATATCCACTCAACACTCCCCACACATCATTCCTGCACATCACTCACACCACTCCCCACACACTCTCCTCTCACCGAAGGACCCCAGGTAGAGGTACTTGTTGCCCATCACAAAATCTCCAACCTCCTGCGCACCACTCGCCACAGACAGATTTCTACACACCCCACAAACTGTTCGCAACACCACTTCCCACGCGTTCCTCACTCACCACTCACCACCACTCACCATGCAGCACTCACCAAAGGTCCCCAAGTAGAGGTACTTGTTGCCCATGACTCGCCCTATGCGTGCCTCCCACCGCCCGTGCTGATGGTGCCTGCAGCATGGGAGAAGGGCGGTCAGACGTTACTTCACAGCACAAGCACAGCGACCACAACACCCTCCACCTGTTTCCTGCCACCCTTACTGTACCTGGTAACCCCTTGCTGCGTGCACGCACCTGGCCACTCCTCCGCCCGAGCGCCCGCTTGCCTCCTTCTCACAGCCTGTACCGCACCTTGTCAAGCCCCTACCGTCCGTTTTCTCTAGCGCCCCTACAGTACCTGGTGACTCCGCGGTACTTGGAAGCCCCTCTTGAGAAGCCACAGCTCTTCCTGCTCGCACAAACAGAACAGGCATGGCGAGGCAGCGTGGCACAAGCAGAGGCAGCGTGAGATAAGAAGACTTGGACATCCTGGCAATCCAGTTCCCACAGCCCCAAGACACCGTACTACTCCAATCACATCGCATTCCCACAACCCCCCTTGCAATCCTCAGCAACCCTGCCGCATGGGATGCCCTCCAGAGTGAACGCAACGCCCCTTGCACTACATCCCCCCCGACATCAGGCGCAGCCTAGGCCTCTGATGCCAAACTTGCGCCCACTCTGGGATTCGAACCCTGACCTCTACCTCGCACGCCACTGCTGGCAGAGTAATCTCAGCTGTCACAAGAAAGTGTCTGCCTCTTTGAAAGGTCAGCACTTCCACAGCTTCCCGAAAATCTTCACTGGAAGATTTTTTACATAGATTTGTAGGGCAACCGCTGTGCAGCTCTTTTGAAATTCAATTGCAACCAGAGCAAAAAGGAAGCGCGTGGAGCATGGAGCATACAAACACGGAGCATATAAACATGGAGCATGGAGCATATGAGCATGGAGCATGAATCATGGGGAATATGACCAGGGAGCATGGAGCATGGAGCATCCAGCACGGGGCATGGAGAATGGAACATGTAGGAATACATACCTGCGGATGGAGGCGACGTACTCATACTTGGAAACCCCCTCCATCTCTCTCAACTCCCTCTCGTAGTTCTCAACCTGGAAGGTCCGGTAGGTCGAAGGCGGATGCAATAGGGTTCAAAGGAGGAGAAGAGAAGTATGTGAGAGTGAAGATGGGGAAACAGGGACTGAGGAAAAAGGGAATGAGTACTAGTTAAGGGTGGATGAGACCCAGCATTAGGGTGCAGCAAGGTTGTGTGCGGTGAATGAACCGCATGGTAAGCTAGGTGCTCGCCTCTCATGCTTGACCCAAGTACTAGGGACAAGCATGGCATTAGGGACAAGCATGGCATTAGGGACAAGCATGGCATTAGGGACAAGCATGGCATTAGGGACACGCATGGCATTAGGGACACGCATGGCATTAGGGACAAGCATGGCATTAGGGATGTACACGGAAGTTCGTAACAGCAGCCATGGGACCCCAGTACTAAAGTGCGGCAGGTTGTGAGAAAAAAACAAAGAACGTGAGCTAAGTAGTCACACAAGTGCTGTGACGTACAGGGAAGTTGGTGGCAGCGGCTGTGGGACCCCAGAACTAGGGTGCGACAGGTTGTGGGAATCACATGGAAAGTGAGCTTACTTGTCACACCACCAGTCGTGTGACGTACAGGGAAGTTGGTAGCGGCCATAAGACCCCATTGCTTGAGTGTGACAGGCGGTACGAGATGAGAGAATTGTATGAAAGATGAGCTAGCCAGTCAAACCAGTCGTGTGACGTACAGGGAAGTTGGTGGCAGCAGTGGGACCCCAGTACTTGAGAGCAGCAAGGTCGTACGCCCTCGCAGCCGTTTCATCATCATCATACCCTCCTGCACTTGCAACAAGCAGAGCCTGATCGCACTCATTCCACTGAAAGATTCCTCAGCAGGAAGTTTATGTGGCATGGCAGTGCTAAATTCAGAGGAACAGAGTACGTACCCAGGTAGACTGCAGGGCAGGTGCAGGTAGACAGCACAACGCCCACGAATAAACAGTCAGACGTTGAGACAGTGAAATAGATGTTGTGAAAGATAACCAGAATACAGGCAGGAACAAACCACAGCAACTCAAGAGCGGATGCACCTTGCCGGCCTCTTCTGTTGGTGCCTTCCTTGGGACACGAGTTATCCCACAGGTGAGCCTCGTAGCGTCCTGTCCAGCGGTGCCTGCGAACAAACAGAAACACACGTCAGAACACAGCTGGTGCCTCCCCTGGGGCACAGATTGTCCCACAGCTGTCAGGTCAGGTGAGCCTCGTAGCGTCCTGTCCAGCGGTGCCTGCCAACAAACAGAGACCCACGCGTTGCAACAGTAAAAGCCGTCCTTTGAGTCGCCTCTCAGAATACACCTGCTGCCCTCCTTATCCCACAGGTGAGCCTTGAAGCGCCCTGTTGAGCAGTGTCTGCAAAGAATCTGACAGAGACGTGTTCCAACTGTGAAAACCACAGACACTGAGTCTGAGTGTTTCATTTTCCAGGCGCCTCAACACTAGATTATCGTCACGACACGAAGACGAAGTGTATTTTGCAGTATCAGCTGTAACCTTCACACGTGCTTTACATGGAAGCAAAGAGGTGGATGGAGGGGTATGTGAGACGAGAGCCCCCACCTTGTCACTCCGCGGTAGATGGAGCTTCTCTGGCTGCTCACGCCGCCTCCCTGCTGCCTTGCTGCTGCCTTCCCCTCAGTCACTGGGGAAACAGCAGCTGCAGACCCACTCTGAGTGCCAGCAGTGGCAGCAGTGTTAGCAGTGCCAGCAGTGGCAGCAGGAGGGAGGTCTCGAGCGGATTCCGCATTGCGTCCTGGACAGAGCACAGTAGGTGGGATGAAAGGTTGAGATGAACTGATAGTAGAGACCGACGGCTGACATCAGCAGATGGGATCTCAGCACAGCCAGTGGGTCGTGGCGGATGCAACATGAGAGAGCAGAAGCACTGGTGTCAACACATCACACTTGCATAATGTCAGAGCAGATAGGCTGGTATTAACACACCACAATCAACGGTTCTGGCAGTTGCAACATGACAGAACAGGACATGGCCTCAACACACCCCACAGGTCTTGACGGTTGCAACACAGCAGAAGGCTGGTGTCAGCGTGGAGGAGGGTAGGCGGCCTCACCTCGTCGCTGCAGAATGGCTGACTGCTGCCTCAGGCGGCTCTTCTTGTTTGACATTGACGATCGATTCTCCCTTTCCTGCATCTCCCTCTCAAGCCTCTCATGCCCCTCATGCCTCTTCCCCTCATCACGCGTCTGCTGCTCAAGCGTTTCGCCCTCTAACGTTCCTCTCTCGAGCGTTTCTCTTTCAAGCGTTTCCCTCGCGTGCTTCTCGCCTGCGAGTGGTTGAGGACTCTGGTAGTACCCAGCGGAGGCCGCTGCACTGTCAGTGAAGAAGCACCCGAAGGTAGGGAGAGAGAAGAAGGGGTCCTCGAATTCCAGATTCCCGTTGTCCAACGAAGCCATGAGATGCAGGATGTGGAAGGAAATTGCTGCGATCCAGAGAACAAATTACGGACCATAAATCCCTCTTTATTTCCTTATCCCAACTCCAAAGTTCGCGGAAGTTTATTTTAGTCTGTTTCCTGGCAGGTGGACAACACTCGGCGAAAGTATTCTGGGAAAATTCGCCTGACGGTTTTAGTTTTTTTTTGCTGGCATGCTTGCAGGGGTTGTGGAGGATCGGTCAGCGAGAGTCTTCCCTCAGAAAACGGAGTGCTTAGCTCGCGAATTCTGTCCATCGTCCCTTGGGATACTGCCACTCGTGGAACCACCATACGCGGAACGAATTCGCACGCGAAAATGTGTGACTAACGCTGTCGGCACGAGATAGAGTGACAGGTCTCGTAAGACGCGCCGCTCCGCGCCAAGGAACGGAAACGCTTATTGCAACCTCGCAGCAAATCCCAAGATTCTATTTGCTGCGCGCTAGGGATTCCATCCATAGCAGTTGAAGGCTAATGAGCCCAGCTCGCGGAAAATTCAAGTCGTTTGGTCCCGCTAAGCCGTTCGATAAGGCGCACGTATTGATCGGACGTACGAAACGCAGTCGCAGCTGCAACAAGTTGACGGACGACGACACTCGCATGTCCTGGGAATGTCGCGACTCGCGGTCCGATTCGACTCACTGCAGTGCAGTCATAGGGAGTGACGCCCAGCAGCGTTTGTTGCTGCTCGGTCTCGCTTTTGAATTTTATCCCTCGAGGCGCCTCGGTCGAGCCATTCCTTTGGCAGGCATTGGAGTTTGCGCGGCGTGATCCACTTCATCGGTCAGACTGCGGAAATCACGGGCGTCAGCCCGTCCGTCACCCACCTTCATCCTGACACCAGAGCCAGCCACGAGAGAAATGGGGGTGGTGGTGGAGCGTGATATGTATTCCAAAAGTTCATTGCTCAATACCGTAACCAAACTCTGTGAATTACATATAGAACGTTGGAAAACGTAAACTAACTCTTCCAACCGTATTCCGACAAACAGCTTGCGAGAGATGACTTCAGCTGCACCTCACGCCAACTGCTTACGGCAAACAAATAACTAACAATGTGTTTATAGACTGAAAACGGGTTCGATTGTGACGATGACAAATACAGTTTCTATTGCTCCACTAGCTGTTCCATTCCTCTAGATTCTGCCTACTCGGTCTGACAGTCAACTTTCAGTCCCGTTGAAACCGCCTGCAATGGGGATCCCCTCCGAGCAGTCGCATGGCGCCGCGGCAGTGACTCTCACGGCCGGGAAAGACGTTGCGTCGAGAACAGCGATAGCCGTGGCCAACTGGTGCAAGGCACGTGGCGGACTCACAGTGGACGTCGTGCAGGCCGCAGCCGATCAGGTACTCTGTCTAAACAGACTAAGATGCACGTATGGATCTATGAACCTCCAGTGCCGCCGGACTGATTCCGAAGGTAGTTACAAATACCCAGGTTGTTACGCGAACGTCGTAATCGTCTGCCGTCTGATCGTCAGGCCGTAGAAATCCAGTGCTGGCTGTAGCGCATTGGGGCTTGTCGATGCGGTTGATTGTTGGGCCGTCCAGATGCCGCTGCATGTTGGGCCGATCCGTTGGTTGAGATAAAGATCTCCACTTTCGCAGGTCGCCATCCGGGATTGAGGTGCATACGAGAGAGGTAGAGGGTTTACCCTATCAATCCGAGGTGTCACAGGGTGGGATTTAGGCCTTTTGTGCAATGCCAAGGCTTGCGTTCTTCGTAGGCGGATATAGAATCTGCGTAAGATTCGCAGTGCTGGGTTCCATGCAAGAACGTTAAGAACCCGCCGGTGGCCATATTGAAATCACTTTTGAGAATTCTCAAAAGCGTCAGCCTCTTCAAGCGAAAAAGAGAGGCCGCTCAGAACTGCGCGTTTCGTGGTCCCGATGGAACCCCTCGCTCGCTCGCACACGAGCACACGAGCACACGAGCACACGCGTAGATGTTGCTACAGAACAGTTTCCCCAGTGTCTCCCTTTTTTCTCGTGCTCCCGTTTTCTCCTTTCCCGCCTCCCCCTCCCTCCTGCAGGCCACCCCCTCCCTCGTCAGCGCGGGCAGCAAGCAGCCTGTAGCGGGCGCTACAGCCGTGTGGGCGGCTCTCGCGCTGGCGGCAGGTGGCGACGCCGCCAGTGCGCTGCTGGGGAGGGATGGCGCTGCACGCGCTGAGGTGAGGGGAAGGGGCGGATTGCAAGGGTACGAAGAGTGGGAGGTGTTTTATCGGGGATGGGTGTGCTGTGCTGTGCTGTGCTGTGGGAGGATGCCGCCCCACACGCAGAGGTGAAGGGAGGGGCGCGGCGTCCAGAGGGGACGAGCGGGCAGGGGGCGAGGCTGGGAGTGGCTGAGCGCGTTGGGTGTGCTGGGGATGGGGGACGGATGGCGCCGCGCGTGCAGAGCAGAGATGATGAACGGGGCAGAATGCAAGGGGGCGAAGCAAGGGAAGTGAAGCAGGGATGAGTGTGCTGAGGGAAGGGATGGCGCCGCGTGCGCAGAGGTGAGGGGAGGTGCACCAGAGGGGTGAGGGGAGGTGCACCAGAGAGGTGAGGGGAGGTGCACCGGAGAGGTGAGGGGAGGTGCACCAGAGAGGTGAGGGGAGGTGCACCGGAGAGGTGAGGGGAGGTGCACCAGAATGGATTTGATGGTCGCAAAACGGCATGGGCAGTTTGAGGAAGAAGGGGGCAGAAGAAGGGAATCCGAGGTTTAGACCCTTCAAAGGAAAGAGGGAGGGGAAAATGTGGGTTCCACGCTTCCCTCCACCCCTTCACCACTCACCACCACTGTTCCTTTCTTTCCCCTTTCTTTTCTTCCTCATCCACCCCAACAGGTGACCCAGTGGCTTCGTCATCCCTGGGTGGTTGGCTCCCTGGCCTCCCTCGCCACGTCAGCATGTCCGTCAGCGTCCACGTCAGCT